CCTGCCAAATGGCTGGAATGTGAATTTCTGCTCAGAAGAAAATCAATTTTGTTTCTCTCAAGGCAGCTCGACGCCCCCATGATGGTTTATGCAGCCCAATGCTGTGGCACTGTCTGACTGTACCCTGAGTGGATGACCCTGCAGATGCGGGGTCCAGAATTAATCTGATCTCGGTTCCAGATGGGGAGTCTCAACTCTACTGAGGTCATGGTTCCCTGGACAGTTAAATAATTATAAATTCCCCCAAAGCAGTAAGGCTGGTGTCGTCTGCTGTCACCGCCTTCAGGGCATGGAAACGAATGACTTTCCCGACTTCAGTGCAAGGTTGGAAATCCACCCCGCCAGGGAAAGAGTTTTTGCATAGGCAGACATTTAAGACGATCCAGAGAGTGGATCTGTTTGTTCCATGAGGTAAGAATATTGAGCTGAAGAGTCCCAGAGTGAAATTTGGCCAAGAAGACTACCTTGAATGAGGCTACCAGGCTCAAGAGCCCACATGCAGAAGTGAACTAAGGGGTATCATTTAAACCTTAAAGAGACCATCTTTTCTGAAGGGAGAAAGATTCTGGCTCGGGCTATGTCCAAGGTTAAACCCAGGTACTCTAGGTTACGTGGAGGACAGACTATGGAAAGTTGATAAACTAGCCAAATATTTAAAGGCACCGAATAGTCCCTTTGGATTTTTGCTAACAATATTGTGGCAGAGAAGTCCTTCAGCAGAAGGTCATCCAAGTATCCAGTGACATGGATGCCCTGGGTCTGCAAAAGAGCAAAAAGTAGAGCAAGCACTTAGGGTGTAGAGAAAAGCCTAAATATTGGTGTTAAATTTAGAAGTCTCCTAAAGCAAAGTGTAAAAAGGAGGGAAGATGGGGATATTTAGATAGGCATCTTTTGGTGATTCTATGCAGAATTTTAGTACACAAAGAAATCTGCTCAGATACTTTACGTTCCATATGGGCGACTGCCCCATTTGGCATTTGGACTGTGATTGAATGAACAAAAGGTCTATCGGATTCCTCCATCCACACTAATCCCCCTACTTGGCTACTGTTTTCTGATCAGAATAGCTGAACAGCAGCTACATCTGACTGAATCCAGCCACTGTTTGACTGACAATTTAGCACCTGGCTTTTTCAATTTTCTAATCAAAAGATGTTAGGCAGGAGGGGGTGACAGGACCAGCCACTAGGCAAATATTGTCTGGTTCTTCAGGAACCAGATGAAATTCAAACAGTATATGGTAGCTTTATGTTGCCAAAAGTGCTTTTAAAAAAGAAGACCTTTTGTCTCCACACATACAGTATATCTGCCCCCACACTGTACAAATTTAAGGGGCACTCTGTAAAGGAATCTGATGTTTGCCTAGAGGCAGCGAATGTGTGCTTACAGGTATTACAATCAATGTAAATAAATTATGACAGGATAACCTTTAACCTTTTTGTTAATAAACTATCAATTTGCAGAATGCCTTTGGGCATAAGATAGGATGTCTATACCTTGTTTAACAAGTTTTCACTAACCAGCTTAAACTGGACTTGTGAATGAAAAACATATTCATGCGCATTATATTGTTTCTATTGCATCATTCTTTAAAAAAAGAAAAGCATGAAAAAATGCACATATGCAACATGCCTTAGAGCAAATGATGACATTATCTACTATAATAATGACCTTTAACCACTTGCCTACAGGGCACTTATACCCCCTTCCTTAGCAGGCCAATTTTCAGCTCTGTCACACTTTGCATGACAATTGCACGGTCATGCAACATTGTACCAATATGACATTTTTATCATTTTTTTTCTCACAAATAGAGCTTTCTTTTGGTGGTATTTACTTGCCGCTGGGTGTTTTACTTTTTGCGCTATAAACAAAAAAAACAGCAAAAAATTTGAAATAAAAATTTCTTTGTTTCTATTATGTAATTTTGCAAACAGGTAATTCTCCTTCACTGATGTGCGTTGATGAGGCTGCACTTATAGGCGGCACTAATGAGGTGGCACGGATAGGCGGCACTGATGAGCTGGCACTGATGATGGGTACTGATAGCCGGCACTGACTGGCGCAACTGCTGGGCACTGACTGGCAGCACTGACTGGCAGCACTGGTGGGTGGCACTGGTGGGCACCAAAGGTGGGTGGCACTGCTGGGCACCAATCATCAGGGCACTCTTTGCTGCTCTTTGCCATAGACTTCTATTATATCCTGAAGGTGTGGTACACTTTCTGAAAGCGAACCAAAACTCCTGCATTCATGAATTTTGGTGTGCTTTCATAAAGTGCACCAAACCCACAGGATATAATAGAAGTCTGTGGCTAAGCACAACAAACCCACAGAAACGCTGAGGGCACTCTGCACTGCACCAACGGTGTGGGTAAACCACAGTGCAGCAGTGTGAAAGCAGCCTTATACTACTACGCCCAGTGTATTGCTTCATACTGACCTGAAGATCTCGTTTCTTGCTGCTGGCAGCACTCTGGAGACCGCTAGCCGGGATAAGAGGTGGAGTGCAGTTGGTATCACTCCGCATGGGACAGGAGCCAGCACTACAGAGGAGGTATTATTTTATGTGGCACCCTACTACAGCTCCAACTTTACAGTAGTCCCTCTGCACTGCACTCTGATGCTCTGGAATAAAAGCCCAGACCGTGATCTACCAGTCACATGGCTGCATTCTACTGGTAGATCATAATCTATGGGTTGCTGACCCCGATCTAGTCTATAACATAATATATAATACTTTTATCATCTTATTTTTATAAAGATGAACTACAGGTTACTGCAAAATGTAACCTTGCAGTGCCCTCCCTTTCCACCTGTATGGGATACATCATTTATTCTAGAGGGTGTGGAATTAAGTAAATTGCATATCTTATTTCTTGCTTCTGCCTCTCCAAAGGAGGGCAGCAAGGAATGAGGTATGTGCTGTGCTTAACATGTAAACAAAACAAGCATTTAACCCCTGCAATGCTGGGGGGCATGAAAAGGTACATTTTTCAGCAGCACAGAATTCAGCTTTAAGACGAGCAGTATTTGATATGATGAAGCATTAACAAAACATGACATGTTAAACCTTACCTAGATGAAATAAATGAACTAAATCTTAGGACAAAAAAATCTATGGCTGAACACAATAACAAAATGTCCTGTTTTGAATACTGTTTATTTTTAAATACAAGTATTTTAAAGTGTGAAACAAAAGATTAACATAAATGCATGGACATGCATGAAAAGCATACATTTATGCATATATAAACAATGAATGAACAATAAAATGCATATGAATATGGACATTTATAGGAAACATGAACAGAGAGACTCTGCAGTTACAAAAGTTCATCATTTGCCTTAAAAATATAAAATTTGTTAGCATCCTATAAATGTAATGTAAAATGGGCCTAAATGAATACATGTCGTGATCATAGGAATGGGTCATGTAATGTCTGAAATATATAAAGAAAGATTATTCTGCATTGCATATCTGCATGACTTTACTTTGACTGCATTGCCTTTTCAGATCAGCCCTATGTAGGCCCATAGACATTACATGACTGCTGGTCTGGCTTTCATGCACATTTGTAGACACTCTAATGTCTATGAGTTACTCTCAGGCACCACTATGCAGCGCTCACCTGAGGAACTATTATAAATAGCTATGGAAAACCATGCTCTGTCACATTTGTTTCCTCCAGCATTGACTTCCCCATCTTGCTTCACAAGCTTACACATCTAATCACACACAAACGTCTGGAACTAGTTATAGTAGAATCATCTTCTTCTACTTATTACCTACTCCCCTCTGCTCTCATTCTGCTAATCTGTGATGAAAGAAACATGAAGCTTCCTTTTATTGTTACAGTGTATGAGATTTCCGAAGACCTTCCCATTCTTAGCAATGTCTGCATTTAAACAATAGCATAATGCTATGCTATCAGTGTGACACTAAAGTCCATGTTATCAATAACCAGAGATGTGTGTCGCAAACTGCATATCCTTATAGTTGATTCATTGCTAAAACTGACCCTTTTTCAGAAAAATTACAATTTGTGGACTCTTCTGATTATGTATGGACTGATTTACCTGATCACTGGTGGATAACTACAATGTTGAATTTGGCACTTGGATATATACAATACAAACATTTTTCACGAATTAAGCAATTAGGCATTCAACAGAATTGCAGAACCACAGTTTGTCTGTAAAAGTACCATGTCCACCAATTTACTAATCCATTGCTTCAATGTCCTTTTACATACACTGTTCCTGGAGAGTAAACCAGATCAAGCAAGAGACACCCCCCCCCCCCACATCAGAAAGATGTATTACTAAATGCATTGTTTTGCCATTGCATAACTTGTCTAGTACAATCATTCAATCCCTTTCTGTAAATATTTTCTGTAAAAGTTCTTTTTTTGCTCCCTTTAAGGGACAAATCTTCATCTAGACTCAAATCTACCAGATAAATGTAATACAACAATACTACTTAATAGTAACAAAATATGTATTTATAGAGGTTTCATGCACACAACAGTAAGGCCCGCACAATGTCCAAAGGCTGTGTAAAAACGTTTGCAAAACCCACAGCTGAGGTGTACTCAATTAGAAGATGTGGCTATATGCAGGTGGCTGCGTAAGGCACCTACACACACATGGAGAAATGCTCCAAATGCAGATAGTTTGCATTTGGTGAATAGGCCCGTGTGTGTGCTTTATGTAACCCTTACACATAACTATGTACAGCTGCTTCTTCTAATTGCTGTCTATCGATGGTTATAGGCAGCAGCTGCGGGGCCGGAAAGTTTTTACGAAGACTCTGGATACTGTACTCCCATCTTACAGCTATGTGTATGACCCCTAAATGTTAGACTTTTTTAATTTGAAAAATTTCATAAAACCTTAAAAAAATATAATAGGCAGAATATACAACACATATTATTGTACAAAAAAAATATCTGCAGTACAAATCCATAATAGTTTATACCAAACTTAATATTTTGCCCTTAGTTATTGGCATGAGTTTTGTAAAGCTCAGTTCTCATCACCTGTAGCATTTGGCTTCCTGCTCCTTCTCTCATCCTATATGGCCTTATAACACCATCTTCATGTAAAAACCTTGGAGGACGTAGGCTCTCCACATCATCAGAAGTGTCTGTAGCTCTGTGAAGAAAACGTGCAGTTAAGTCTCTTGTTTCTTCATTGATATAGGTACCACTTCGGTTGTACTTAACACTGACTGTAATGAGTATAAAAAATTATTTTAAAAATAACACTGTCTAAACCTGTGACGGTCACCTTGAAAACTTTAAATGACTTTCAAGTGCAGCCCCCGACACTGCCAGAGGTCCGCATAATAGCAGCGCATTTTCACATCTCAATGTCCACAAATTGTGGTAATTGTGGTCCTCGTGCATTTTTTTCACTGTATTGCAATGCAAAGTGGAGATGTTGGCGTACAATAATCCCCCAGTAATAAATTTGGTGGACACAATCCCCAATATTTTCAGTCAATGGCCAAAATAATAACCTCGAACACTAGTGTCAGTGGATGCAATAATCACCAACATCATTGGTGTTAGTGGATACAATAACCCCCAGTAATGGTGTCAGTTTCTGCAATAACTGTCCCTGGCACTGGTATCAGTGGATGCAATAATAGCCCCCAACATTGTGCCAGTAGATGCAATAATACCTCCCAACATTGGTGGCAGTGGACACAATATTAGCCCACAGCATTGGCGTTAGTGGGTGCAATAATAACCCCCAGTATTGGTGTCAGTTTCTGCAATAATAACCCCAGCATTGGTGTCAGTGACTACAATCATAGTCACCAGCACTGCTATCAGAACTATTAACTTCCCCCCTTCACCACACGCATACACATTGGTCAGTGGCAGTCAACTTTTACCATCCCCTTCCTGCATTAGTGGTCAGCAGCATCAAAATGTAACACATTCCTTGCATTGGTGGTCATGGCAGTGAAAGTGTAAACCCCTCCCCCTGCATTGGTAGTTATGGCAGTGAAAGTTAATTCACCATCCCCCTTGCGGCCACTCTGCTACCCATATGGTTCCCAATAGCCTGCACACTGCATATTGGGCACCAGGGGTCTAAACCATTTCATTCTGTCTCTAACTTCAACCCTCATTACAGCAAGAATTATTCACCTTACTTTAAATCACAGGTGTATAATTACATGTGTTGTATGAAACTCACCAGATAGTGGCTTTGTGCCCCTATCTGAACTAAAGATGCCACAATAATTCCAAAGCACTATATTGCCAAAACATTTAACAATATACAAAGATTTACCTTTTGATGCCCTGAAATGTACTGCTGGCCATATCTATTATGCCACCTGTTGGTCTGGTTATAGCTCCCACTAATCCTTTGCCAACTCCTTTAAAAAATCCTGCTGCTCCTTCTTTCTGAGCTCCTAGGAAATATATTGGGTTAAATGTCAGACTCTTGACACTCAAATACATACAGCATCATTACTGTAGCAGACTTGCTCACTGTACCTTTAATTGGCTTTGTTACTATCCCGGTTATACCGCTGACAAAGCCCTGAAGAAAAGAAAAGAAGTAATGACTCACATAGAAGGCATGTTGCTGACTAATACCATTTGCAAGTGCCAGAAACTAAACACTTCTTAATAATAGAGTTTTGAAATAAGAACAAACATAAGAGAGGAGATGGTTTGGCAAATAAGAAATACAATTTGACCACCAGTCATTCATTTGACCACTGATAATAAACCTTCCTACCAACATCAAAACTTATTTTATTCTAAATTGCAATCCAAATAAATTTGCTAAGCGGCCCTTATATAGCACTTAAAGCAGACCTCCAGCCAAACAATATTTCCTAACATCTCCTGTGTAAAAATAAAAAAACGTTTCCCCGCATGAAGCGTATGCCATTTTTTTGCATGTCTGCCCTTTCTTTAATGTGTACAATTTTATTCACATTAGATAGTATAGTTTCACTATACTTCCAGAGCTGCAACTATGAGAGCTGTGGCTCTCATAACAATTTTTTTGCTCCTCCCCTCCTCTTATCTATTCATAGAACATTGCATTCTGTGGACCATTCACCTTATGAAACTTTTTTTCTAGACAGCAGGTTTGAATAAAAATGTTTGCCTTGAGTTTTCCTTGAGTTTAAGAACAAGCAATATTTATTGAATAAGGATGTATGTGTCATGCCTCATGAAACCTGCCTTAAGATTTACAGAGAGATACTGGTGGCCAACAGCATATCTCAGATGCATTACTAGGGGTCCTCAAAGACCTGAGGCTCATCTGGAAACCTAGACTGAAATTCTGTTAGGCTTGTATATGATGAGGGTATTCCCTTTCCTTATGTGGTCTTCCCTAGGTGAAGTTCTGGGTCTCCCTCAGTGATTGATTTACCAAATATGACTCTAAAGGAACATACAGTTAAAAGTGATTGTGTGAGAAAGAATGTTCAAAAGAAAATCACAAAGTTCAGCTATAATTGAAGTATGTTTGCTTAAAGGATAAGCATGTGTCCTGGGTGCCAGGGTCTAGCAACACCTTTCTGAAATTTTATATGTCCCCCTGATGGGACAATCCTATGCTGTCATTATAATTCTTAGAGTCAAAATTATGCTAAACCATATCTGGTGTCAACAACATAATCTTATATATTACCACCACAATCAGATTCCGTTTAGATACAGTAGAACAATCACACAAACTGATTTTGTGGTCAGCCATTATTGGACAAAAGCTGGTAGTATATCAAAACCCAAATCTACAGTGCATCCAGAAAGTATTCACAGCGCTTAACTTTTGCCACATTTTGTGTTACAGCCTTAATCCAAAATGGATTAAATTCATTTTTTTTCCTTAACATTCTACAAACAATACCCCATAATGACAATGTGAAAAAGGTTATTTTTTTAAATCTCTGCAATTTTGTAAAAATAAAAAATGAAAAAATACACATGTACATAAGTTTTCACAGCCTTTGCCATAACACTCAAAATTGAGCTCTTGTACATCCTGTTCTCACTGATCTTTCTTGAGATGTTTCCACAACTTGATTGGAGTCCACCTGTGGGAAATTCAGTTGACTGGATATGATTTGGAAAGGCATAAACCTGTCTATATAAGGGCCCACAGTTAACAGTGCATATCAGAACACAAACCAAGCCATGAAGTCCAAGGAATTGTCCGTAGACCTCCGAGACAGTATTGTATTAAGGCACAGATATGGGGAAGGGTACAGAAAAATTTCTGCAGCATTGAAGGTCCCAATCAGCACATTGACCTCCATCATCCGTAAATGGAAGAAGTTTGGAACCACCAGGAATCTTCCTAGAGCGGGCTGCCTGGCCAAAATGAGCGATCGAGGGAGAAGGGCCTCAGCCAGGGAGGCAACCAAGCACCCGATGGTCACTCTGAAAGAGCTCCAGCATTTCCCTGTGGTGAGGAGAACCTTCCAGAAGAACAACCATCTCTGCAGCACTCCACCAATCAGTTCTGTGTGGTAGAGTGGCCATACAGAAGCCACTCCTCAGTAAAAGGCAAAAGGCAGCCTGCCTGGAGTTTGCCAAAAGACACCTGAGGGACTCTCAGACCATGAGAAACAAAACTCTCTGGTCTGATGAAACAAAGATTGAACTCTTTGGCCTGAATGCCAAGCGTCACGTCTAGAGAAAACCAGGCATCGTTCACCACTGGCATCATGCTGTGGGGATGTTTTTCAGCGACAGGAACTGGGAGACTAGTCAGGAAAGACGAATGTAGCAATGTACAGAGACATCCTTGGTGAAAACCTGTTCCAGAACGCTCTGGACCTTAGACTGGGGGCGATGGTTTATCTTTCAACAGGACAACAACCCTAAGCACACAGCCCACATAACAAAGGAGTGGCTACGGGCCAACTCTGTGAATGTCCTGGAGTGACCCAGCCAGAGCCCAGACTTGAACCCGATTGAACATCTCTGGAGAGATCTGAAAATGGCTGTGCACCGACGCTCCCCATCCAACCTGATGGAGCTTGAGAGGTACTGCAAAGAAGAATGTGAGAAATTGCCCAAAAATTGGTGTGCCAAGCTTGTAGCATCATACTCAAAACCACTTGAGGCTGTAATTGGTGCTAAAGGTGCTTCAACAAAGTATTAATCAAAGGCTGTGAGTACTTATGTACATGTGTTTTTTTTCATTTTTTTATTTTTAATAAAATGCAGAGATTTCAAAACAAACTTTTTTCATGTTGTCATTATGGGGCATTGTTTGTAGACCACTGTTCATGTGAAGAAGCTGTGAGAGAACTGTCAGAAATTAGAGGAACTCTGCACATACACTTTTTGCCGGCTTGGAATTATTCTTCTTTTCATCCTACTTCTTCTTCTTCATCCTCAGAAGAAGAGGATGAGGATGAGGATGAAGAAGAAGAAGAAGAAGTAGATGAAAAGAAGAATAATTCCAAGCCGCAAAAAGTGTTGCAACCGCTGTATGGAAGGACAGTCCAGAACTGTCATCTGTATTTCTGACTCACATGCTTTGAAACTATGGAGTCACAAGAAAATAGCAGAATAAAGATGGATGATGTTATGGTTAGAGATGAGCGAATCGAACCAGGCGAACCGGAATTCGAGTCGAATTTCAGGAAATATTCGATTCGCGGCGAAACCGAAATTTTGCCTACTTCGGGTGCGCGAATCGAACATTTCCCGATCAGCCGGCAAAAGTGTCCCTGCAGTGAGCTCCGCTATTTCTGACAGTTCTCTGACAGAAGGAACACATGTTTAGCGGTTGAAACATTGTATCTATTAGTTTACATTTAGGATACAGATGTTTCAACCACTGTTCATGTGAAGAAGCTGTGAGAGAACTGTCAGAAATAGAGGAACTCTGCACATACACTTTTTGCCGGCTTGGAATTATTCTTCTTTTCATCCTACTTCTTCTTCTTCATCTTCCATTTTGAAAAGGAATAATTCCAAGCCGGCAAAAAGTGTATGTGCAGAGTTCCTCTATTTCTGAAGCTTCTTCACATGTACAGCGGCTCCTAAATGGAAACTAATAAGATGGAAGCGGTTGAAACATTGTACATTTGTTTCCATAAATGGATCCATTTATGGAAACAAATAGATACAAAAGTTAAGTCCCAGAACTGTCATTAATAGTCTATTTCTGACAGTTCCATGACATTTCCTACAGCGGTTGAAACAGCACTGTATGGAGTGAATTGTCAGAAATAATCTGTCAAGAACAGCTTGATCCTTTCCTCTTCTTCTCATCCTTGTTGGCAGACCTGAAAGCTTCCATATCCTTCTCCTTCTTCTCACAAGCAGGCAAACTTCTCATCCTTCTCCTTCTCCTTCTTCTCAGCAATGACAATCCTTCTCCTTCTTCTCATATAATCCTTCTCCTTCTCCATCTTCTCATGGATGATGCTTCTCCTTCTCCTTCTTCTCATCCTTCTCCTTCTTCTCATCCTTCTCCTTCTCCTTCTTCTCATCCTTCTCCTTCTTCTCATCCTTCTCCTTCTTCTCATCCTCCTTCTTCTCATCCTTCTCCTTCTTCTCATAATCCTTCTCCTTCTTCTATCCTTCTCCTTTTTAAAACCTTTCATCCTTCTCCTTCTTTTTTGCTGTCTCATCCTTCTCCTTCTCCTTCTTCTCATCCTTCTCCTTCTCCTTCTTCTCATCCTTCTCCTTCTCCTATTTTCCTAAGGGATTTAAATAAGGTATATAATAAATACTTTTTTAATACAGTGGCAAGAATTTCAAATAGTAAGCCCGAATTTTTGAGGAATGAACTGTTTTTATGCAGTAATTATGTGATCAGTAATTATGTGATCTGATGCTAATCGAAGTCACAATAGACAAACACAATGGGATGGTTTTACTAAAACTGGAGTGTGCAAAATCTGGTGCAGCTCTGCATGGTACCCAATCAGCTTCTAACTTCTGCTTGTTTAATTAAACTTTGACGGAAAAAAAAAAAAAAAAAAAATTGGAAGTGGACTGGTTTCTATGCAGAGCTGCACCAGATTTAGCACTCTCCGGTTTTAGTAATTCAACTCCAATGTGCTTAAGTTGACAACCCATTAAGAACACATCCATTAACTGCTTTCTGACCACCCTATAGCAGAACTACTGCTGCAGGGCTGCGCAAAATCACGTATATATACGTGATTTTGCATTTCCGGGTAGGGGGCGCGCGCGCCACCCTACCCGTCGCCGCCATTGGCTGCTACAGCTGTCAATCACTGGATCACGGACAGAGATTCCCCGCTGGCACCTGGCGATCGCCAAGGAATACAGAGGTCTGTATGTAAACAATACAGATATCTTCCCTGTCAGCACCCCTGCCTAATGCTGGCACCGGCCCTCCCTGACTGGCTTCTAGGAGTTTCACATTCTGCACATTTATTTACGGTTTTTACACTGTGTTATTAATTCAGCCTAACAAAAGCAATGCAAAAATAACAATTGTATTATTCTGTAATGTTTAAATTCATTCAAAATGAAAATTTTACTTACAGACACAAGGCCTTTGCCTCCACGTGTAAGACCCTCCCTGATGCCACTTGGCTGTTTGTTCATGGCTTCTCTCCTCTTCTGCTGGTATTCTTCATCCATAGTAATGGCTGCTACACCTTTGGCCATAGCACTCGTGATTCGGGATGCTGCTCCAGCTAAGCCACCTATTAAAACAAACATATCTTATGACTGAAGTCAGAAACTAATGGGAATTTACATACATTTTCAGTATCTTCTGGGTGAAAGGTAATGGTAAAAAGGAAGCAATGCAGAGTGATCACCTTTTCATAAATCTGATATGTCTTCATGACTCAAAGCTTTATATGGTCAAGTTCAGTGGTTTTCAACCACCAGGCTGAGGATCTCTCTCTTGCCAAGTTGCTGTGTGACTCATTAGATCATACTCCTCTGGATGAACACTCACCATCCTCCCCTCAGCAGCAGGCTGGGCTTCTGCTGACCACCTCCAGAAGTGGGCACCAAGACATGCTGAGTTAGAGCCACTGGTCACGTCAGGAACTGCCACAACCAAGTGCTCTTGGACTTTTCATGAGAGTCTGAGGCCTATCTGACATGGCAGTTCAGCAAGAAGACAGATGTGCAGAAAAAGGCACCAAACCTGAGCCTGCCTGTCAGCTAGGCTCCTGTCAGTGCAGGAATGTTTATAAAGTGCAACAATTTAATTCTCGGAATTGATTGTGTAAAAAAAAAAAACAAAAAAAAAATCAAACTCCTTTGCATTCTTCAAAAGATCAGATGGAATTTGAAGGCAACATTCTTTCTGATCTTCTGTCAAGATTCAAGGCACCATCTTTGCGAAATCTTTCTCATTCTGCCACAGCGTTTCCATGCTCATGTTCAATTTTTCTGCAATGATTCGCAATACTCAATATTTGATCTGAGTGTACAAGGGTTTGCACTCTGTCCACATATGCATCTGTCCTTTGCATTTTTGGCTGCCCACTTCTTGCATCTGCATCATCGTGGATATCATCCCACCCCTCTTTAAACCATTGATGCCATTCAAAAGCACTATTTCTTCATGGAATGTTCACCATAAACCTGTTGTAACAGAGCTAAAGTTTCACTCACACTGTTGGCAATTTTTACTCAAAATCTGATGTTAATCTGCAGCTCCAGATTCCTGTCACGCATTTTCCGTCAACAGCTCAATGCACAGACGTGTTATTTCTTCTACTGCTCCATAACAACTGAGTCAACTGGTCTGTGACCCAGGCAAGTGCAAGTTAGAACATGCCAGAACACGCTCGAGTGCAAATGACTGTGACTCACCACAATAGTGCCATGCCACGGGCATTCCAGAAATTAAATTGTCACAACTGGCATATGGCTGGAGTGTCAGTGACAGCACAGGAACCTTTTTTTTTATTAAATCCAAACTCTCTTTATTGAAAAAAAAAAAAAAAAAAGATCATAAGTGACATTATATCATATATGAATACCATTTATGCAAAGATACATACACGGGTATACATCAGTTTCCTGAAAAGCCGAGAAGCTTAAATCCTGTAGATATTTAAACCTATTAAAAACAGGTGGGATCACCTGCAAAAATTAGAGGTCAGTGTAGGATAACAATACGCTTGCCTTACAGTCTGCACTGCAAATATCAGTATAAAAGACTTAAATAGCCAGAATGGCAAATAGGGATCACATTTGAAGGAGCCTGTGCTAGCACTGTGCCTGCACTAGCTGAGATGGAGCTAACCCCCGGTATATATAGCCAGCCCTGCCAGACTAACTCAAATTTGCATTTGGCATTCCGGTGGCGATAAGTGAGTTGTTGCCTTAGGCAAGGTGTTGGCATATTCCATCCATTGATTGCATGTCGGGGAAGAGGATGACATCCAATACCTGGCTATAAGTTTCCTAGCAAGATATAACAGACAAGAAATCATGATATACACTCCTGGCTGATACAGTTCAGCATCCACTGCGCCTTAAAGGCATTTCATGGGGACTAGCCATACAGGAGATTGAGAAACTAACGCAATATATGTTTAACCTCAGTCCAATATGTAGTAAGCTTTGGGCAACGCCAGAGCATGTGGATAAAGTCCCCGCTATGCAATTTAATTTTGGACAAAAGGGTGTTTCTCTCTTGCCCCATTTGAACAACTTCTCCAGAGTCCTATAGACTTGAAGTATAAACAATCGAGTAAGTTAATGTGCTGCAGACAAGGAAATTATAGGTACAGATTCCAGTGCCATATCCAATTGTTCTCCATCAATCTCTCCTATGTCCTTCGCCCATTGGTCTCAACTTCTAAGGGTTGCATGGTTTTGTATAGTGGATAGCAGTGATAGAGATGAGAGATTAAACCCTTTCTGACAGTGGCTCGAGCAACCTCCAATAGAAGAGGTGAGTCTGACTTGTGTAAACTAGTAGATTGTGCTTGAGCGCAAATTGCGTGACACAATTGTAGATATTGAAAGAGTTGTTTGTGGGACAAGGTACATTTGGAGCGTAATTGTGTAAAGGATTGAAGAGTGGAGTCAAGGAAAAATTGGTCAAGGAAACATATCCCTTTTTCTGTGTCCAGGCTTGGAACCCTTCTAATTAGCCAGTTCTGGTTAGTTTGATTTACTCCATATGAGAGTGGTATCCAAGCATCCTGTAATGCATAGGGAGGACTTTAGGGCACTCCAAACCTTCCTTAATATGATAGCAGTGGGACATGTAGAGGGCAGAGCCATCTGTAAGTGAGAACTTACAGGCAGAGTAGGATCGGTCAGTGTAAGCAATTTATTGACAGGGTCTAGATTACCCAATATCCCCCAGCCAGCCAGTTGCTGGAATTGTGCCGCTATGTTCTAGGATGCGGAACAGACCCCTCTTATCTTTCGCATATTGTAATGTCAAAAGCCTAATTCTAGCCTGTTGAATTTTCCAAATTAAATCCCTACATTGGTAATTAAATGCGAGACAACCATTTCTATTGCATGCAAGTAGGTGAATTGTGAAAAATATATAAGAGCTGTGGGGCCCAAATCATTGTTATTAAGTTAACGCTCCCTACCAAAGACAAGGGGAGTTTACTCCAACTTTTACATTTTACCTTATGTTTGTCCAGAAGGCGAGCCAGATACAGTGAGAGGTATTGGGCAGGCTCAGAGGAAACCATCACCCCCAAATATGTAAAGGAAGAGACAATGGGAATCTTTTGAGCACAATCAGGCAAAGGGGCAGCTAAGGGGTCTAGGAGCATAAGGGCAGATTTGTTCCAGTTGATGGAAAAACCGGATGTCCCCAAATTTATTAATAAGCAACATCAAGGTTAGCAGGGAGGTCTTAGCCCTAAATATAGTAGGGTATCATCAGCATAAAGAGATATCTTTTCTTCAGTGTCTGACCTACGAAACAATATCAGTATACTCCCTGACCATGATGGCCAGAGGTTCCACAGCCAGGACAAGGAGCAGAGGTGACAGGGGCACCCCTGCTTAGTGCCCCTGCGCCGATTGAAGAATGCAGAAAGGCTGTTATTACAATATTCAGACCCAGGTAATAAACATCCCCCAATCCAAACCTAGACAACACCTCCCAAAGGTAGGGCCATTCCACGCTATCAAAAGATTTTGCAGCGTCTAGGGGTAGGATGGCCCTATCCTCCGGATTATCCACTGGTATTTTCAAGTTAAGAAATTAGTGTCTGAGACTGTTCGCTGTTGATTTAGAGGGAATAAACCTTGATTGATCTCTATGTTTCAATTTGCCTATGACCCTGGATAACCTGGTAGCCAAAATACGGGCCAGTAGTTTGACATCTGTATTCAATAAAAAGATAGGAAGATAAGAGTCAGGGAGCAATTTGTCTCTCTCTGGTTTTGGGAGAACTATTTTGATCGCTTCCTGCATTGGGTAATTCTCCTGATCCTACTGCAGCCTGTAGAGATTGTAGTAAGGGTGGAAGAAGTACATCTCCATATTTCCAGTACACCTCAGATGGAAGGCTGTCCGACCCCGGGGGATTTGTTAGTAGGGGCAGCTGCCAGAGCGTCTGTAAAATCTTCAATATTGATAGGAAAATTAAGTTTAACCTGCTCAAACCCAGATAGTTTAGGAAAGGGACACCCTTTTAAAAAACCTGAGAGAGCTCAGTGGAAGTGGTGGTATATTTGGACACATATAGATTTGGACAAATATAGGTGCTCATAAAACTGGTATAACGTATCAAGAATATAAACATTGGAGGTATGGAGAACACCAACATGTGCCGGCTAGCATCTATAGCGGTATCATCTTACTGGCCCCTAGCCACCAGTATTTTTTTTTTCCAGCAGCGGAGAGGAGTACTGAGTTATACAGGGACTGGGCCTCTCTCCATTTGGATTACGTGGTAGGATTAGGATCTGCCACCAGTGTAGACTCCCTCTGCTGTAGTTCTAGTATGACCATATCCTCCCATTCCTTAGACTTACATTTAACAGCCTTTATTTCTCTAATAAGGAGCCCCCTAAGATACACTTTCATAGAATCCCATACTATTGTTGGTGAGGGAGTGTCCACATTCTGCCTAAGAAAGATAGACAAATCCCTCTGAATGGGATCGTCCTCCGGGAAAACAGTCAACCAGATTTGGTTGACCTGCCATAAAGGACCCCTGAATGAAACTGTACAGAGAGGCATACCCAGAATAGGGAGTGATCTGAGAGTAGCCTAGGTTCATAGACAGAATCCTCAACATAAGGTAGCATAGCATATTTACCTAAGCCTAAGTCAATTAGAGAGAGACCAGCATGAGAAGCTGAATGGCAAGAATAACACTTCTGATATAAATGTTCTTGAGACCTTGTCCAGTCAAAAGATTAGCAAATGCAGTAAATTGCAAAAGGAAGCGTCACTGCCTGGTGGGTCACGGAGAGTATATCCAGGGCTGGATTCAAATAATTATTACAATTTCCCAATGTGAGAAGAGGAACCTCCGGATAAAGAGCCATAAACTGAGCTAGGTGTTTTAAGGTCACATTGGTGAAGGGTGGAGGGATATACATGGCAGCTATGATACAAAGAAAAGCATCCAATTTACATAGTAAAAACACATATCGGCCATTCTTGTCCACCTGCTCTTGCAGGCGTACAAAAGAGTGATAGCACAGGAACTTTGCTAGAACTACAGCTGACTATAAGATCTGCAGTGCCTGTATGCCATAAGAGATTTTGTTCACTTACCAACTGCTCCACCAACAAGTGCCTTTACTCCCAGTGCCATTCCTTCAACAAACTCTTCAGGACCTTGAATGGCTCCCTATGGTAAAGCATTAAAATAAAATCATAATGAGAACAAGACAGACTTATTGAAGAATAACGTTTCATGGATAATAAATGCATCAAAAAGACACAATCCACCATATGTAAGATGCTGGAGACTGAGATGATCATTTTCAACCACCAGCCATTTGGACAAAGCATTAATATACATATTACAGAATAAATGTATGAATGATTTAATTTTACGCTTAGCTACGAGCTAAAGTAGTGAAATTATAATTATTCTGTTATAAAAGTGATAGTACAGGCAGTCCCCAGGTTACCAACAAGATAGGTTCAGTATGTCTGTTCTTAAGATGAATTTGTATGTAAATTGTAACAGGTACATTTTTAGGTGTAACTCCAGCTAAAAAATATTTTCTATGTTTTTTAGATAGCACACGGAAGGGTTAAATCCCTTGAAATGTTTGTTTTGCTGTCTGTGCCCCTGTTAAGAAGACTTCACCTCTCTTTCTGTCCCTTTAAACAACTGGGTTTTGAAAATGTTGGGTTGTTGTGGAATGCATTTCGTATTTAAGTCGGGTGTATGTAACTCAAGGACTGCTTGTACACTATATTTCCAACACTGGGATCATGGTGCCATGTAATTTTGGTACGTGGCTCCTGTCACAGGGAGGAATAGAGAATTGTACTCTAGAGATATTGTGCAGTTGCACCATTCGATCTGGTGTTCTTTATACTGAAATTACACAATACTGAGACTGATATTGTAAAAAAAAATCTACATAAAAAAGTAGCATATATTGTTACTTTATGCATGCCTTTCACTGTGCACTGCACATACCATTATTTGAAAATGATTATCTAAACTCCAAAGCAAAATGAGAACAAAAATAAAAGCAGGCCAACAGAACAAAATAAAGCAGACCAAAACACAATAGCACTAAAACCTGTTCTATCAATGTAAAACACTAAAATGCACTCAAGTTAAAAAAAAAATGCACCCATGATTTTGTAACACTGTAGCATGTATTACCTGGTAAGGCTCATAAAAGAAAGCTTCCACCCCCTCAGAAAGATCTCGAAACAAACCAAAGGGATTCCCCAGCACATCAAGACCAAGCACAAGAACGTACATTTGTTTAATGGCCTAAAAATGCAGAAAGACAGTTTCAAGAAGTTTAATTTATCAACAACTATGTTCAAGTCACTGAAGCAATTAGGAGTAGAGAAAAACAAACAAACAAACTTGTGACTATGATTTGGAGAGATCTGTGATGATTCATTTCATGTTGGAAAATTACACATTTTTTTTTTTGGTGACCTCTTCTTGACAAGTCTCAGAAAAATGCAGACCTTAAAGTGATTCTAAAGTTTAAAGGGTTTTTTTTTACCTTAATGCAGTCCCTGTATTAAGGTAAAAAAAAGTTTTTCTACCTTTTCTACTTCCCCTCTCACCCCTAAACACTTACATCTTATCTATCCAGTGTTGTGCCCTGCTGCAGCTCTTCTCCCTCCACTTCCTAGTCTCTCATAGAAGACACAGACAGCAAGTGAGAGCCATTGGCTCCTGCTGATGTCCGTCAAAGAGAGCTGGGGGCATGACAGAGCTGTGTTTATGAACACACATAGCCCAGCTCAGGAGCAAGCCGGCAAGGTTGACCCCCTCGCACAGACTTACTATGGGGGCACTCTCAGGGAGAAGATGTGGACAGTGTTGGTGGGGGACTGCTAAAGAAGAGGTAAGAGGCCAATATCACTGCACAGAGCAGGTAAGTATAAATCTTTACTTTTAATTAAAAAACAACAAAAAAAGCTTTAGCATCACTAATGCAGGAAGATGAGGATAAGCACAATTTAGGAGCCTGGATTGGGGAAAGATATGGATGCATCACTGGATGAGCAAGATGAGACTAGGCAGATTCACTTTGCACACACTGATGTGGAGGTAATAATTCCAGCATAATACCTTGTGGAGCAATATTAACCCTATTACGAGCACTAACATACTGTATATGTGGCCTCCCGGAAGGTTATTCCTGGGCACCGCATATATGTGTTCCTGTGTTTGTGCAAGAAGCGTGCTCGATTGCACACTCCCAGGACTAAGACCAAGCAGTCGGTAACACCTTTGGCCTTGTAATAAAGATCGGGAACCAGAAGAACTGGCTCTCGATAACATGACTGTTGTGACAGCCTGTTGGCTATCACAGTGATCATTCACTCTATAGCCCGTCCCTGTGTTGTTCCCCTTCTGTGATGAGGAACAGATACATTGTATCAATAGAATTATAGATACAATGTATTACACTGTTAAGTGTCAGTTAGTGGTAGTGTTTTTGTCAGTGTGAGTGTTAGGGTATGTGTGTTTTAACCAGTTCAGCTCTTTGGGCATGCTACATACCTCCAAAGAGTGAACTGTTAATCACAAGCTGATAGCTGCTAGTGTTTGTTCAGCCAGCTCCTGGCTTTAAAGTGAAAAGGATGTGGTGGTTCTGTGGCTGCCGATCACGTTTACAAGATGTGGTGCCATCCCCACCCCCTCTCCCGCCTGTGGTTCCTGCAACTATCTTTTTATTCTATGGGGTCTCTGCTTTCACAAAATATATAATGTTCTGGGTGTTTAATACATTTTAGTGCTGAAAATGAAGATTTTTTCAGGTGTGCAAAAATTTAGCGGAACTGCGGCAGGCGTTCTGACACTGGGGGGAACTCACTTGTCACAAATACATTGATGAGTGCTAAAAAAAAGCACGGACATTGTACTAATGGCACTGGGCAGGAAGGCGTTAACATCTGGGTGATCAAAGGGTTAACTGTGTGCTGGGAGTGTTTTACTGGGGAGCGGTGTGTTGGTGCTTCACTGTAAGCACACTGCTCTGGATGGCAGCCCTCCTCTCCATCAGAGATCCTCAGTAATCACCAGGCGCTGGCTGGTAATCACCGGGCGGGGCCATGGCCGCAATTGGCGCCCCCCCCCCACCGAGAAATACAAAATTACGTACACATATGTGATTTTGTGCACCCCTGCCGCCTTGTAGCAGTATGCTATAGGGCAGTGGGGAGACGGTTAAGTTAATAATTTAGTTTCGTCATATTAGTTTTGTTAGAATGATTCTTTCGGAATTCATTTAGCAAATTCATTATTTTTAAATCGATCTGAAATTTGAATTTGAAAATTCAAATTTTCAAAATTCGAATTTCAGAAGGTGCCTATATTCATTCTATTTTATTCTTTTCTAATCTATTCTTTTATTTTCTATTCTATTGATTTTCTATTCTGTTTCATTCTATTCCATTCTTTGATTTTCTATTCTATAATTTTCTATTCTGTTTTATTTTATTCCTTTATTTTCTATGCTATTCAGTTTTTTTTCTGTGCTATCCTGTTCTATTCTGCAGTCTAAGTAGGAGTCATCATCTTATTTCACTTTTATACTTTACTGTATTTATTGCAATATGTTTCCATTTCGAATCTGAATTCATTTTCACATTCAAATTTGGATAATTTGTTTCATTATAATTTATTGAAATTCACTACTATTGTGAATTATGAAATTCGGATATACTGTATCTGAATCTGTAAAAAAAAAAAATAAAAATGTTGTCCAAATTTCCATTTGTAACGAAACTAATCGTCTAATGTGGAAAGCAAATAATCACACCACAACCCCGGCTGTGGAATTAAAACAATCCGTATTCCTTATAACCATTTTTTACAAGCTGCCCTGGTTGCATTTTTATGAAACTGAGGTGTCAAGGCTCAATCCAATTATAAATACCTATGTTATGATAACATAGTGTTTAATCATGAATATTTTTTACATTAATAAGTAATTTTCTCAAATTAAAATTCTTTTTGGGATAATACTGGATTTAAGTATGTTTTCAAAACTGAACTGCAGGAATTATCCGTATTGCATACTTACATTGATCCAGCTTGGCACAGCTTGCATACTCATACTATATTTTTATACATGTTGGGCTGCTAGTAAAATGGTGCTAAAAAAGCGATAACCATCTCCCAAGTCCTTAGCAAGTGGCTTCCTTTATACACACTGACCACAGGGAGATGCTCTCTCAGCAGTGCTGCCATTCACAAGAACACCTTGCCTTTTTTTCAATGTATACAAAGTGTTTAACTGATTGGACAAGATGGAGAGCATGTTATTACCGACGGTCCTCTTTACTTTTTCCATCCAAAAAATGCCTTGTATTCATTGAAAATATTCAAGCCATTTTATGAATGATGGTAGTGCCAGGCGGACAAGCCCTTGTGGACAGTGTGCAGGGGAGAAGCTGATCGCACAAAAAACCCAGCAGTATCCAGAAGACTGCAGCTAGCATGCTGACTACTACATTGATTGTCAGTTTCCCCAGCAACTCATCAGGTATGAGATATGCATACTTACATTGTGTCGAGCTGAACCATGTAAATATGTGATCATTTTCTGGAGTTCATCTTTAAGTATATATGTATATTAATATATACTCACTTGTCGTGAATAATGCCTTATAACTTCCCACTGCAGCTCCTGTGTTGTATAAACTTGGTTTTGAATCTCAAAAAAAGCCAGTCTAAAAATGAGAAACAACATGAATGTCAGTGACCTAGAAAGATGCTATCATATAAAAGTGCAGCTGTGGATCACATACTTGAATACAACATCCTGCACATCAGTCAGAGTAGCGCCGATACTTTTCAGGAGAAGATTTAAAGATTGGACTGGTATAAGTTCTTTGTCTCGAAGTTCTTTATTCCCATCATCTCCACCAGTACTAAGGGAGAAGCTTAAATGCAGCTACAAATGGAAAAACATTAAGCAGATTAAGTATCTAGGCACTTTTTTTTAAAAAAGTAACATGTGTCCATCTTACATTACCTTTATAGGAGATATATGAAAATCCTCATACAAGCTGAGCTGGGAGGTATTAATTGAAGTCACTGTGCTCAATTCAGCTTGGAGAGACTCCACATCTTTTTTGAAGAAGACAACCTATTGAAGCATGTTTAATATAATCAGCAAAAATCAGAACACAGCAACATTTATAGGATGAGTGCCACATTTCGAATTTACAGGTCTTTTGTTGGGCCAATGATATACCAACATGTCTAATAGCCAATTGCAATCCTGTTGTTTACATTAAGACTGCGTGTATCACCTATGGAGACTGCTGTATCATTTAGCAATACTTGCAACGACTGCCACACCGATTGAATATTTTTTGGTTTGGCAGGGACTGGATGAATTTTCCATCAGTGCATAGCCAGCTTTACTCTTCACAGGGTCTCCTTACTAACCATCGAATTCACAGTATCCCCCTTCTAAGGGATCCTGAACATAATCTATTCAAGATTAGCCTCGAAAATGGCTAATAAAGCTCTCAGTAGAAGGCAATTCCAGCCAGCAGTTTTAACCACCATTCAACCTTTAATTTACAAAATCATGCCTAGTGTATTATACACATAAATGACCTGAATAACTCACTTCAATTACAGTGCTCTGTTTTGACAATAAGTTGATAAATGCAGGGAAATTTAAAGCAGACTGTGCTAATAACAGAGTTTTCTCTGTTATTCATAATATTGTTTTAGAGGGCTAGTTATCCTAAAGAAAAAAAAAAAAATTTAGATCCATTATCCTGAGGCATACATTTCCCTTTTTATAGTAATCTTAAAACCATTTCTCAAATGAAATTATCTCTTTAAGGGTCAGTCCACCTAAAACTAATATGTGAGAATTTGGTAGAGAACGTTAAACCAAAATGTCTTACATTTTTCAGGGACTCTATTGGTGAGATCTTTATACTTGAATTTTTGGGTTTGCACATTTGCAGTGAGTAATACAAGGAGTCCTGCTCACTCTGCTGGACTTAATTTATTTTATATTAACTGCAAAGGGGGATGCAGGATGTTGCAGAAGTGGAAAGAACACCGAAAACTCACTGGTGGACAGTAAAGAGTCAGAAAATACAGCAGGGAGATCTCACGTGAGTATCCAAGACATACAGTTGCAAGAAAAAGTATGTGAACCCCTTGGGATTACGTGGAGTTTTGCATGAATTGGGCATAAAATGTGCTCTGAACGTCATCTAAGTCACAACAATAGAAGAACACAGTCTGCTGAACATAATACTACACAAACATTAGATGTTGCCATGGTTTAATTGCACATAACATGTAAACATTCACAGCGCAGGGAGGAAAAAGTATGTGAACCTTTGGACTTAATAACTGGTTAACCCTCCTTTGGCAGCAATAACCTCAACCAAACATTTCCTGTAGTTGCAGATCAGACCTGCACAACGATCTGGAGTAATTTTGGACCACTCCTCTTCACAAAACTGTTTCAGTGTAGCAATATTCTTGGGATGTCTGGTGTGAATCGCTCTCTTAAGGTCATGCCACAGCATTTCAATTGGGTTGAGGTCAGGACTCTGACTGGGCCACTCCAGAAGGCATATTCTGTGCTGTTGCAGCCATTGTTTTGTTGAATTACTTGTATGCTTTGGGTCATTGTCCTGTTGCATCACCCATCCTATGCGGAGCTTCAGTTGGCGGACAGATGGTCGTACGTTTTCCTGCAAAATGTCTTGATAAACTCTGGAATTCATTTTCCCATCAATGACAACAATCCGTCCAGGCCGAGGCAGCAAAGCAGCCCCAAACCATGATGCTCCCTCCGCCATGTTTTACAGTGGGGATGAGGTTTTGATGTTGGTGTGTTGTGCCTTTTTTTCTCCACACATAGTGTTGTGTGTTCTTCCCAAACAAGTCAATCTTGGTTTCATCTGTCCACAGTATATTTTGCCAGTAGTGCTGTGGAACATCCAGGTGCTCTTTTGCAAACTTCAAACGTGCTGCAATATTCTTTTTGGACAGCAATGGCTTCCTCTGTGGTGTCCTCCCATGTACTCCATTCTTGTTTAATGTTTTCCTTATTGTAGATGTGTCAACAAAAATGTTAGCATGTGTCAGAGATTTCTGTAGGTCTTTAGCTGACACTCTGGGATTCTTCTTTACCTCATGCAGCATTCTGCGCTGTGCTCTTGCAGTCATTTTTACAGGACGACCATGCCTAGGGAGAGTAGCAACAGTGCTAAACTTTCTCCATTTGTAGACAGTCTGTCTTACCGTGGACACATGAACATCAAGGCTTTTGGAGATACTTTTGTAACCCTTTCCAGCTTCATGCAAGTCAACAATTCCTGATCGTAGGTCTTCTGAGAGCTCTTTTCTGCGAGGCATGGTTCACATCAGACAGTGCTTCTTGAAACCAGTAAACTCAAAACAGGCGTGTGTTTTTTAAGGGCAGGACAGCTGTCAGCAACACATCCAATATCATCACACTGATTGGAGTCAAGGTTGGCTCACTCCTGGCTCCAATTAGCTCTGGGAGAAGTCATTAAGCTAGGGCCTCACATACTTTTTCCTCCCTGCACTGTGAATGTTTACATGTTATGTGCAATTAAACCATGGCAACATCTAATGTTTGTGTAGTATTATGTTCAGCAGACCAGCAGACTGTGCTCTTCTATTGTTGTGACTTAGATGACGTTCAAAGCACATTTTATGCCCAATTCATGCAAAACTCCACGTAATCCCAAGGGGTTCACATACTTTTTCTTGCAACTGTAAATGAAGTCAGAGGCAAACAACTGTATAAATATAAAATACTTAAACAACAAAGAAAATACTGAATATCAGATTTTTAAAAAAGATAATAGAAAAAACTATTTTATTGCAGCCCTACCTCCTGGTCCTTCGATACATCTCCACTCTGTGTAAAAAGCTCTGCTAAGGCATACAAAAAACCCAGATCCAATCGCAGATCCATTTCTTGAATTAAAACCTTGAAGTACCTGTTAGAAGAGCATACTAGTCTGTAGTACATACATTTCATGGATTTGTATTCATAATAATAGTGGTTTGTGTTGACAGGCTTTGGGCTTGTGCCAATGGCATCAATTTGACATCAGTTTCAGATGCTTCTGAGATCATTCAGAATTCATTGACAGGTGCATTAGGCTGGCCATACATTATACAATTATCTGCAGATTTTTGGTTTAGATTTACCAAAAACCATATAATAGGAGGACAAACCTAAACAACACTTTCAGTTGTATCCAATTAGGCAGGCCCTTGCACTACATAGTTGAAGGTAAATCTAAAGGAAATTGGGCAGAAAATCTGCAGATAATTGTATAATGTATGGCCAGCCTTAGACCTGCTGTTGACGTCCTTCTAACCTGGTCTGCTTCAAGTTGGTTTTGCATCCCCAAAGACTTGTATGGTAATGCAAAACCCATTTGAAGCAAACAGAAGCCCATAGACAGATTTGCAACATATGTAAAATTTATAAACATGAACGTTTCCCTAGTGCCTGTACAAAACTGTGAAACGTTCATATCCTGCAGAGTTCAAATACCTCTCACCATACACAGCACAGCAGATGTTAAGACTCCATTTGATTTGTGCAAGCTGTACATTATGCAACTAAAAAGAAAGCATAACCCAAAACAAAAAGAAAAGTACACAATGTGATGTACTTGAACATGCATCACACTACCCTTTCACAACCAAGAACTAACAGCTGCTTACACAGTAAAATGCTGCATTTTACTGTGCAAGCCAGTGTAAATGGGCCCTTATTAAAACTGCATTTATCCTTTAAATTACATTTTATCAAATCTAAAAATTATATAACACAGCCATATTTATAAAAGCTGTATTTATTCTTTACATTACATTTTGTTAAGCCTAAAATTATAATACATCTTATATTTACTGTATATGGTGCAGAAGATTAACTGATAACTATGTGCAATCAATCCCTCTAAAGCCCAACTTCGGAAAAAGTAAAAATGCTCCAGTGCAGTGGGGTCAGGAAAAGCAGTTTTACTTAATCAAGCTTCCATTCCTCCGCCAGATGGCACTCCACTACGCTCTGGCAGTGGACTGTCCACATCTGGACTGTCCAGCATCCTCACAACTAGTGTAGGGCTACAGGCCCTGCATTAGTGTTGATGACATCAGAGGAAGAAGAAGCAGAAAATGGTCTTGTAGTGCAGAGGAGCAGAGTATTGAATAAAATAGCTTTTCTTGTTTACCTAGACATAAAAAAGATTTTATACATATATAGATATATATCTATATATCTATCTATATATCTATCTATATATCTATCTATATCTTTCTTATGTCTAGGTTAACAAGAAAAGCAATATTATTCAATACTCTACTCTGAGAGAGAGAGAGTGAGGGGGGGGGGGAGAAAGTTCAGGGATATAGATCCTTGGGACCACGTGCAAAGCGGTTTGTCTTAAACATAAAAGGTGTCTATTTTTCTTTAAAAAGAAACCAAAACTTTCAACAGCAACACAGAGTTATATTAATTCAAGAAAATATATTACAAAAGTCTGCTTATCTTCAAAAATCATAAAAGAAACAAAGAAACAAAAAGTTGATATATGGGATTTACCCCAAGGTTAGCACAGTCCAACTCTGGTTGTTTGGCATTTTCCAGTACGTGTGCAAGCCTCAAAAAGGTCTCTTTCTCAAACTCCTACTCCCCCACACCTTAGCACTGGGAACTTCCTGCCTTATGTGCTGCTTCCTGGAGGCTGCTTAACACTGTGGGGCCCTGAGTCCCTATAGGCGGGAGTGGAGGTCCTTTTCCCACCCGAATGTCACGCCACACCTCCAAAATATTGGGACCCAAATAAAGTACTACTAAATCTGAGAGGACTGCGAATCAGTGCTCTCATTTGTACAACAGTACCAGAATCCCTTACCATGAGACCCTTGAGTACATCCACCTATCCTCCTTAAAGGGATCACAACCTGAATGTTGGTGCCACATAACACCCGTCCAGAACCCACCCTTGGCATCCTGTATTATATGTGTGTATATGTTAGTGGGATTTAATAAAAAAACATTTATTTTGATACTGATTATGATGCTACCATCCTATGATTTTGCTTGTATTCACTTGCTATATTTACAAAAGTCTGAGCAATATTCTTACTTACTTTATTCGTGCAATTTCAGAATGTCCAGCTGTTCTCATTACAATGCTCACATCAGTGAAGGGTTTTGGTTCTAAAACAATATTAGATGTATAAATGATGAGTCATGAGCCTTTTCTTAGTATCACCATATACTACTGAAAATTAATTTGGCTTTGTCATGGTATCTGTTTTAACCACTTGAGCCCCAGAGGATTTACCCCCCTTAATGACCAGGCCTTTTTTTGCTGTTTGGCGCTGCACTAATTCAAATGATAATTGCGCGGTCATGCAATGCTGTACCCAAACAAAATTTACGTCCTTTTTTTCCCACAAATAGAGCTTTCTTTTGGTGGTATTTGATCACCTGTGCGCTTTTTATTTTTTGCGCTATAAACAAAAAAAACCACGAAAATTTTGAAAAAAAAAACAATATTTTCTACTTTCAGCTATATAAAAAATATATCGTAAACTCAAAGTTAGTCATAAATTTAAGCCAAAATGTATTCTGCTACATGTTTTTGGTAAAAAAAATCCCAATAAGTGTATATTGATTGCTTTGTGTGAAAGTTATAGCGTCTACAAACTATGGTATAGATACTGTAATTTATGCCTTTTTTTGCTATACAGCGCTGCACTAACTCAAATGATAATTGCGCGGTCATGCAATGCTACACCCAAACAAAAATTACGTCCTTTTTTTCACACAAATAGAGCTTTCTTTTGGTGGTATTTGTTCACCTGTGCGCTTTTTATTTTTTGCGCTATAACAAAAAAAACCACAAAAATTTTGAAAAAAAACAATATTTTCTACTTTCAGCTATAAAAAATATATCGTAAACTCAAAGTTAGTCATAAATTTAAGCCAAAATGTATTCTGCTACATGTTTTTGGTAAAAAAAAAATCCCAATAAGTGTATATTGATTGCTTTGTGTGAAAGTTATAGCGTCTACAAACTATGGTATAGATACTGTAATTTATGCCTTTTTTTGCTATACAGCGCTGCACTAACTCAAATGATAATTGCGTGCGGTCATGCAATGCTGCACCCAAACGAAAAATTACGTCCTTTTTTTCACATAAATAGAGCTTTCTTTTGGTGGTATTTGTTCACCTGTGCGCTTTTTTTATTTTTTGCGCTATAAACAAAAAAAACCACAAAAATTTTGAAAAAAAACAATATTTTCTATTTTCAGCTATAAAAAATATATCGTAAACTCAAAGTTAGTCATAAATTTAAGCCAAAATGTATTCTGCTACATGTTTTTGGTAAAAAAAAAATCCCAATAAGTGTATATTGATTGCTTTGTGTGAAAGTTATAGCGTCTACAAACTATGATATAGATACTGTAATTTATGCCTTTTTTTGCTATACAGCGCTGCACTAACTCAAATGATAATTGCGCGGTCATGTCATGCAATGCTGCACCCAAACGAAAATTACGTCCTTTTTTTCACACAAATAGAGCTTTCTTTTGGTGGTATTTGATCACCTGTGCGCTTTTTATTTTTTGCGCTATTAAACAAAAAAACCACAAAAATTTTGAAAAAAAACAATATTTTCTACTTTCAGCTATAAAAAATATATCGTAAACTCAAAGTTAGTCATAAATTTAAGCCAAAATGTATTCTGCTACATGTTTTTGGTAAAAAAAAAATCCCGTGCATTAGCGGGCAAACTGGCGCTATCTAGGAGGGGCGCTAACACTATCGGAAGTCACCAGTGACACTAATACAGTGATCAGTAAAAATCTGTTCACTGTAATCAATGACACTGGTGACAGGGCAGTGAAGGGGTTAACTGGAGGGGGGGGGGGGGGGCGATCAAGGGGTTAAATGGGATTTCTGGTGCACTAGCGGGCAAACTGGCGCTATCTGGGAGGGGCGCTAACACTATCGGAAGTCGCCAGCGACACTGATACAGTGATCAGTAGAAATTGGTTCACTGATCAGTGACACTGGTGACAGGGCAGTGAAGGGGTTAACTGGAGGGGGGGGGTGATCAAGGGGTTAAACGGGATTACTGGTGTACTGCGGGCAAACTGGCCCTATCTGGGAGGGGCGCTAACACTATCGGAAGTCGCCAGCGACACTGATACAGTGATCAGTAAAAATTGGTTCACTGATCAGTGACACTGGTGACAGGGCAGTGAAGGGGTTAACTGGGGGGGGGGGTGATCAAGGGGTTAAACGGGATTACTGGGTGTACTGGCGGGCAAGCTGGCGCTATCTGGGAGGGGAGCTAACTCTATCGGAAGTCGCCAGCGACACTGATACAGTGATCAGTAAAAATTGGTTCACTGATCAGTGACACTGGTGACAGGGCAGTGCGAAGGGGTTAACTGGGGGGGGGGGGCGATCAAGGGGTTAAACGGGATTACTGGTGTACTGGCGGGCAAACTGGCGCTATCTGGGAGGGGCGCTAACTCTATCGGAAGTCGCCAGCGACACTGATACAGTGATCAGTAAAAATTGGTTCACTGATCAGTGACACTGGTGACAGGGCAGTGAAGGGGGTTAACTGGGGGGGGGGGGGGGCGATCAAGGGGTTAAACGGGATTACTGGTGTACTGGCGGGCAAATCTGGCGCTATCTGGGAGGGGCGCTAACTCTATCGGAAGTCGCCAGCGACACTGATACAGTGATCAGTAAAAATTGGTTCACTGATCAGTGACACTGGTGACAGGGCAGTGCAGGGGTTAACTGGGGGGGGGCGATCAAGGGGTTAAACGGGATTACTGGGTGTACTGGCGGGCAAATCTGGCGCTATCTGGGGGGGGGCGCTAACTCTATCGGAAGTCGCCAGCGACACTGATACAGTGATCAGTAAAAATTGGTTCACTGATCAGTGACACTGGGTGACAGGGCAGTGAAGGGGCTTTAACTGGAGGGGGGGGGGGGGGGGCGATCAAGGGGTTAAACGGGATTACTGGTGTACTGGCGGGCAATCTGGCGCTATCTGGGAGGGGCGCTAACTCTATCGGAAGTCGCCAGCGACACTGATACAGTGATCAGTAAAAATTGGTTCACTGATCAGTGACACTGGGTGACAGGCAGTGAAGGGTTTAACTGGAGGGGGGGGGGGGGCGATCAAGGGGTTAAACGGGATTACTGGTTTGTACTGGCGGGCAATCTGGCGCTATCTGGGAGGGGCGCTAACTCTATCGGAAGTCGCCAGCGACACTGATACAGTGATCAGTAAAAATTGGTTCACTGATCAGTGACACTGGGTGACAGGGCAGTGAAGGGGTTAACTGGAGGGGGGGGGGGGCGATCAAGGGGTTAAACGGGATTACTGGTGTACTGGGCGGGGCAAACTGGCGCTATCTGGGAGGGGCGCTAACTCTATCGGAAGTCGCCAGCGACACTGATACAGTGATCAGTAAAAATTGGTTCACTGATCAGTGACACTGGGTGACAGGGCAGTGAAGGGTTAACTGGAGGGGGGGGGGGGCGATCAAGGGGTTAAACGGGATCACTGGTGTACTGGCGGGCAATCTGGCGCTATCTGGGAGGGGCGCTAACTCTATTGGAAGTCGCCAGCGACACTGATCAGTAAAAATCGCTTCACTGATCAGTAACACTGGTGACAGGGCAGTGAAGGGTTAACTGGAGGGGGCGATCAGGGGGTTAAATGTGTCCTAGAGTGTTCTAACTGTAGTGTAGTGCTTGTGTACTCTCACTTTTTGGATGTCTTCTTCTCTGTCTGGAACGGAATGTGTCCAGGCAGAGAAGAATGACATCATATCCTGCCCAGTGTAAATATCAACACAGGACAGGATAGGACAGGGACCGATCATGTGATTTCAGCCAGAAATCACTGGCTGAAATCTAATGATTGATCCCTCCTGGATCGAATCGGATCACCCGCGGGTCGGCGGGAGCGCGCGCGCGCGCGCGCCCCCTGCCGGCGAAAGTGTCGGGGAGCGCGGAACCCGTTTTTAAACGTGGTTTTGCGCTCCACTGCCGCCCTGCACACGTATAAACACAGTGGCAGGGCGGCAAGCGGTTAAAATAAAATTATTCCTTTAAGGTTGTAAACACAGCTAGCTTTTCTGGAATTCTGCTTATATGACAAGATTGTCGCTATCTAAAATTTAAAGAAAAGAATTTGGAAATATGCCCCTAGTTATCATGAGTAAAGAAAAACACTGTAACTGAAAGAACAAACCTGAGTCCAAGGTCACAGACTTGGGTGGTTTTATTGGGTAAAATATAAAAGGAAAGATGGCTCCAGGAATCTGATTTTGTATCTGTCAATAAAGCAGTCAAAGGAAACATTAGCAATAACAGCTTTGTAAAGGGCAAATAAAAAATAGCAAAAAAAAACAACAGCATGTTTTCTATCTGAATCTTACTATATAGGGTAACTGTCACCCTAAAGGATAAGTTCACCTTTGGAAACATGTTACATGTTCCATTCATTTTTAGGGTAGAACGTGTAACATGTTCCCACTGCTGCAGCCGCCACCCCCTGTCCTTGTGACAGCAGTGCAGGGAGAAGTTTCTTGTACCAGCTGTCACTTTTGGAAAACAGTGCGGCCATGCGGGGCTCCACCCACACAGTCTTGTCATTCATTCAGAGTTCTGTGAATGACTAAACTACAAGTCCTGACAGGCTTTGCGGCTGTCGGCTTGTAGCTTTCAATGAACTACCATGGCACTGTTGAGCACTGGGGTAGTTCATTGATTCTTCCTGTCACAGTATATCTGCTTGCCTATACAAGGTACGAGCACACAGATACATTGACAGGTTTGCAGGAGACCCGCATGGCACCAGCGATCTGCTGATCGCTGGTGCAATGCTTTCCAGGCTCAAAAAAAAAAGTAAATACACATTTTTTTACCTTACAAAAATGGGTATTTATTTTTTTTCTAAAAAGTTAACTTATCCTTTAAAGCATGTTTGGCTGATATTTATTAAGACATTACATAAATAAGTGCATTACATTATCTATATATTATAATTATACAACTATATTCTGTAAATAGCAATGCCAAGCAGCGATTAAAATCAGGGAGCTCCGATTCTCTCACTCTCCCTGTTCAATGCCATCCATGCCCCTGATGCCCTCATTCTGCCGTAACACGTAGGGCAGAGCATATTGACTCGGGAGAGTGAGCATGAGATCTTACAGACTGCATGATCCATCCCTGAGCAGTGTTTAGGTCAGTAGTTGCAGTGAGAAGACCTGTGAGTGAGCACAGCAGTAGTTTTTGAAGGGCTTGTTTTTAACTATGTGAGTGCGTATGCATTTTATTTTTTTAATAAAATCAGTTTGTCAGAGAGCAGTATGGATTGTCATTTGTTTTACTGAGCTCAAGATCTGGATAATCACTGGGGATTGACAGCTGGATTGTGCACATTTCCTCCATCAATAGAAACCATCTGGTTGACCTGAATATGGGCTGTTTCCTGCAGTCTTGACCTTTGTAGTGAGGGTCAGATGGCCAGGTGAGACCACACCTTTGGGGACCTGGTGGAGATTTGACTGGGTTTTTCCACAGCACACTTTTGCATTTTCGACAGAGGTTCGTATTTTGTTTTTCTGTGAACTTTGAACACATTTTTTCATGGACTTCGAGCACATTTGTATGCAATAATTTTTTCTCAATTGCTGTGGTCAGTGACTGTTGATGTTTGTTTTGCAACATTGACACTTTTATTTGATAATAATGGTACTTTGTATATTTGTGAATTTTGATCACATTACATTGTTTATTCATTATTATCTGTTAGTGAAATACAGAGCCATTCAGCTTCATTTCACAATATTGATATTTTATTTCATATTATTGATATTAGGTTTTGTTATAATAAGTGCAGCATCTTTATATTCAATTATATATATACTCAGTTTACCTTAAAAGGGAATATATAGTATTTTCAATGTTTTAGATACACATTTAAAAGAGATCATGAATGTGATAATCTATTTCAGTAAATGTTTAAAGATTATTCAATGTACAGTATCATTTGCAATTCCATACATTACAGAATAGCCATTTATACACAGACTCTGCTACATGTTTAGCAAAGCTACACAGTAATTTGGTTTACTGTTCATAAAACAGATCTATGCATTAGCCAGCGTGCTGAAAACAAAGAATTCCCTCCTAAAAATTGTAGTTAAGTAGAGTCATGGTTAATTTCTTAAACCACTCAGAGCTCACTCTATTGGAAAAAAAAAATTAAAGTCAAACATAGAGGATACCCACTGCAATAAGAACATAAAATATGTGCTTTTGAAAACACATTAAAGATTCCTTTTAATCTACGTTCTATGCCATTCACTGTAAATGGATTGTAGAGATCTTGTTACATGTGGGGTGGATGATCTGTTTCATGAGTGTTTTGCAACTTCTGTCTGAATTATTACCCATCAGATTCATGTGTCTAATGTTTATGCTGTAAAAAGCATATCTTTAATAAATTATCAGCCTGAATCAAATGAAATAAAAATATTTCTAGTGAGAAATTTAACTTTGTGGTAACTCAATCAATCTGTTATTAGAGAAGAATACAAAACTGCAGGTCGCCTGCACATACTTGTATTCTGTAGAGCTGTAGTCTGATGGAAGTCTGATGAGCAGAAGCTGAGTATTCTACTTTCAAAGCTGGCAAGAAACTTCTTCTCACTGGTGCTGATGATGGCTGTACAAACTTCATATCAGTGAAAGTAGGTGTTAGGCATACCTGCAACATTCATAAAAACACCAAACACATTAAAGAACACAGCTCAAAATTGGAACTATTGCTCATAGCAACCATTAAGTTTCAATATTTCAAGCGAAACAATGATCTTGGCAGGTCAGCTACCTTCTGCCTGCTATCATACAAGTATATGCTCAACTGGTGTACTGTGATCTGTTTAAAAGCCTATGTTATATTATTATTATACAGGATTTATATAGCGCCAACAGTTTATGCAGCGCTTTATAAGGGCAGACAGTACAATTACAATACAAATAATACAGGAGGATTCAGAGGGCCCTGCTCGTTAGAGCTTACAATCTAAGAGGGTTTAATGCAGTCCATAGATGGGCCACAAATCGGCCGATTTTTCGGCCGAAAATAAAATCGGCCGATTTTCGGATCATTAGTGGGCTAAATGTTCGGCCGTTTTTCGGTATTTTGGCAGATTTTTTTTATCGGTAAAGTTGGAAAAAATTTTTGCAATGATGGGCAAATCGGCCGATCTTTTACCGATAAAAAAATCTGCGCATGAGCAGTGACCTGCAAGAGGAAGACAAAAAGAAGAAGAAAAAAGAAGAAGAGGATGAAGAAGAGGAAGAGGATGAAGAAGGAGGAGAGAAGAAGGGGGAAGAGAAGAAGAGGATGAAGAAGAAGAAGAGGATGAAGAAGAAGAAGAAGAGGATGAAGAAGAAGAAGAAGAGGATGAAGAGGATGCAGAAGAGGATGCAGAAGAGGATGAAGAAGAGGAAGAAGAAGAAGAGGAAGAAGAAGAGGATGAAGAAGAAGAAGAAGAGGAAGAAAAAGAGGAGGAAGAAGAAGAGGATGAAGATGAAGAAGATGAAGAAGAGGAAGCGGAAGAAGAAGAGGAAGAAGAAGAGGATGAAGAAGAGGAAGAAGAAGAGGAAGAAGAGAAGATGAAGAATATGAAGAAGAGGAAGCAGAAGAGGATGAAGAAGAAGAGATGAAGAAGAAGAGAATGAAGACGAGGATGAAGAAGAGGAAGAAGAAGGATGATGAAGAAGAAGAAGAAGGATGAAGAAGAAGAAGAAGGATGAAGAAGAAGAAGAGGATGAAGAAGAAGAGGATGAAGACGAGGATGAAGGAGAAGAGGAAGAGGAAGAAGAAGAGGATGAAGAAGAAGAAGAAGAGGATGAAGAAGAAGAAGAAGAGGATGAAGAAGAAGAAGAAGAGGATGAAGAAGAAGAGGATGAAAAAGTAGAAGAAGAGGATGAGGAGAAGAGGAAGAGGAAGAAGGAGGGAAGAAGAAGGAAAAAAAAAGAAGAAGAAGAAGAAGAGGATGAAGAAGAAGAGGATGAAGAAGAAGAGGATGAAGAAGAAGAGGATGAAGAAGAAGAGGATGAAGAAGAAGAGGATGAAGAAGAAGAGGATGAAGAAGAGGAAGATGAAGAAGAGGATGAGGAAGAAGAAGAAGAAGAGGATGAAGAGGATGAAGAAGAAGAGGAATTCCAGTCCGGCAAAAAGTGTCCCTGCAGAGAGCTCCGCTATTCTTTGACAGTTCCTTGACATTTATAGCGGTTGCAACAATGTATCTATTTGTTTCCGAATAAAAACATCTGTATCCTAAATGGATACAAATAGATACATTGTTGCAACCGCTATAAATGTCAAGGAATTGTCAAAGAAATAGCGGAGCTCTCTGCAGGGACACTTTTTGCCGGCTGTAGACGGGATAAAAATCGGCCGATTTTTTTTACTGTTGCTGGTAACGTTGGCCGCTTGAACGATCGATTTTCCGTTTTTTTAAAAGAAAAATCGGCCGATTTTTGACCCGTCTATGGCCTGCATAAGTCAGAACTACCTCTCCCCTTGTACAATTCAATAGGAATACAAAAGCAGTTTAAAGCAGGTTGATACAGCTTAGATGATGCACAAAATGCAAGTCAGAAGGAAGTCAACTGCATGTCAAATACACCCCTCAAATTCTTAATGATCTCAGACATCTCAAACTGATCACAAATGTTACCAGAATGCACATGAAAGCAAGATGCATTTCCCAAAGACAAAGGCCCATAAAAGGATGTTCTGAAACTATCACCTTTTTCATGCACTTTTACAAAAGAAAGCTGACCTTGATAACTAGTGATTTGAGCCTCCTCATTTCTTATGTGAAGAATCCCAAGAGCTACTTCTGTAATACCATTACAGACTCATAAATTAAGGTAAGTTTCATGGGGAGAAAATAATGATTAAAAATACTTTTAATTTATTATAATTCTAGAATCTGTCCTAAACCTGCCGTAATTCTCTCCCTTGCTCTACAGTCCAGTATAAAATAACACCAACATATAAAATGAGGACAGTATATCAAACGTATTTGATGACATTCCATGTTTGACAGTGCAGTTAACGTTAACCTGTATAACCAAACAAATCTAAACTTTATCTAAACAATGGATATCATTAAAATTATATAATTTAATAAAAGAGAATACTTTGCAAGGATTACCTGGGCATTGGTATCCAATTCAACAATTTTAATGTCTGTGGGTCCAGACTCACTGTATTCCTTGTAGGCTGCTTCTAACTTTTCTGTTTGCTTCACACTCAGTGGCCTCCATCGAGTCTTCTTCTTTGTCTCCCAAACTACATCTGAGCTATACAGCATGAGCACCAAAAACATACATTAATTGTGCTCCTATTGGTTTACAGTATTCATTATATGAATAGGGATAAAATGTGAATATTTTGTGTTAGAGTACATGAGACTAAGATATAAAGTATTTATAAAGCAGAGGATATTACATTCAAACATTCACTGCAGGTGTATGTTCCTGTGGATGTAATTTAAACTACAGTGATCGATTTATATGCAGTGAATGTCACATTCACTGGTTTATGATAATATCCCTTTGTATTTATATTTCCTTACCTTATGCCACTCAACTGCATACTGATAGAGCAGACACATGAGCAACAGCACAGGGATACAGATACTTAATCATGACACTTATGTGATCACCCTTTTACAATAATACATTTAGGCATGCAATGACATGATGAAATAAAACACTTGCCTGGTGATGCCTATGAAGCATACTTCTTGTTTGGAATAGTTATTTACTAGAGAAATGCCAACATTTGACAATGATATTGTGACTTCTTGCTCTGCTAATTCTGCCTTTTCATTATCATATGTCACATTAAAAACATGTTCATCTTCAGTGAAAAGCACAATCCGTTGTAAACCTTGCAGGAAACACACCACGTAGAGCAGACAGTTTTCGAGTCTGTGGTATTCAACTCTGTCCTAAACATAGAAAATATAAAGAATTTTACACACACATTTAAATTTGCCTTGATATCAACCTTCTGCACTATTTCCCTGTCATAGGCTGGTGGCAGAGAGGCAGAGCACTAAAAGCCAAGCAGGCACTGTTGCCATGTGCTGACAAGAGGAGAGAGCAATGACTCATCACTGTCCAATCAATAGGCTCATGGTGTGTTTCTGAACAAGTTGTTTTGGCACTGCAGTGGAGGTCCACGACCTAGATAAGCGGTTTGACAGGGGTGCCAGAATTACAAGAGGACTGGCTGAACAGACAGTTTACATATGCATTTCAACCATTCATTTAACAGCTTGCTGCAGTACAGCTCACCCTTTAGTTGGTCAGAAAAGTACCTGTGGGGGTCTCTTGGTCATTCAGTGCAGGAGCTAAAGAGCTTTGAGCTTAGGGAATTAAGAAGTGACTTGGAAGTTAGAACCTATATACCACACCGTAGCAAAGGAAATTGTAGGGGACAGCTCTAGTGTTGTCTCAATGGCCACATCACTGTAAGTTCAGGAGATGTAGTGTGTATGCTATGTTTAATGTGGCACTGAACTGGGCATTTGCTGTAGCATCCGTTAACTTATTTACTGTGAAAAAAGTATGTTGTGGAAATTTTCAGCCTGGTTTCACGATACCAGTATACTTATTCTGAAGTAAAGGAAAATCCTCCTGCACTAAAAATGGGGCCCTAACACTCAAGCTGCCGACACTAACCTCCTACCTTAAGAGTGAAGTGATTAGATAAAACAAAACAGTGTAGCGCTAAATAAATAATATATTATATTGTGAAAAAATACAAAAATATATATAAGGCCCCCCAGTGCATATAAGGGGTATAATATAAGTGCAACACGTGAACTCCCTATGGGAATAAATATGTGCAAATGTGACCAGTGTCCTATCTAACACTCGTGACTAACATACTGTACAAACAACACATTAAATCATGAATAAAACCAATATAATGATATATGAATCCACACAAATGAATAAAATGTCCAATAATAGTGCTCAAAATTAGATGCTCATGCAGGTGATGGTAAGTGTTCACTCCGTGCGAATCCTTAGTGGCTAAAATGCCCCCTCACCTCCTTACATCGACCCTACAGGGTCAGCTCGCTCAGAGTATTGCACCGCTCTGAATAGTACCAGGATACCTTCCAGGTCCACTTCACAGTAATAAGCGCTTCAATCCTTCCTTATATTGCACAGCCAACAATATTCTCTCCGGATCATAAACAAACAAGAAAAACCTCCATAGTGTAATCAATTTAATGGAGTATAAAACAGTATAAAAATGCCCACTCACATGCTCCTTCGCCTCTGACACTGCTCATTCACCTCTAGCATGAAGTGAATGAGCAGTGTCAGAGGCGAAGGAGCATGTGAGTGGGCATTTTTATACTGTTTTATACTCCATTAAATTGATTACACTATGGAGATTTTTCTTGTTTGTTTATGATCCGGAGAGAATATTGTTGGCTGTGCAATATAAGGAAGGATTAAAGAGCTTATTACTGTGAAGTGGACCTGGAAGGTATCCTGGTACTATTCAGAGCGGTGCAATACTCTGAGCGAGCTGACCCTGTAGGGTCGATGTAAGGAGGTGAGGGGGCATTTTAGCCACTAAGGATTCGCACGGAGTGAACACTTACCATCTCCTGCATGAGCATCTAATTTTGAGCACTAATTATTGGACATTTTATTCTTTTGTGTGGATTCATATATCATTATATTGGTTTTATTCATGATTTAATGTGTTGTTTGTACAGTATGTTAGTCACGAGTGTTAGATAGGACACTGGTCACATTCGCACTTATTTATTCCCATAGGGAATTCACCTGTTGCACTTATATTATACCACTTATATGCACTGGGGGGCCTTATATATATTTTTGTATTTTTTCATAATATAATATATTATATTATTTATTTAGCGCTACACTGTTTTCTTTTATCTAATATATTTATTCTGGAGACAAATGAAGATATTATAAATAACAAGTAAAGCACCTCCTGCTTAGATATATCTCATCAGTAAAAGAAGAAAAGGCAACAAGTAAACAAATAGAACACAAGAAAAGTTGATGGTCAATGTGTTAAATAACAATAATATAACAGTATAATGACCTCTGTCTGAATGACTTTTCCTGTGGTTGTTCCACATTTCCAGGATAATTCTCTGTCACTGGTAGGGTCTTCCCATGCATATAATGTGGCTTTTCCAGGTGCTAATTTGTCTGCTTCTGCATTGACAGAACTGGGAAGAACACAAAGAATAGTCAGTAATTATTTGTGTTACAGAGAGACAAACACCATAAGGTGCATGCAAAAACATATTTCCAATAAATATTTGCATAACAAATAATTGTACTTTGCCAAACAAGCAGTTTAAGAGCTAGTTTAATTTTTGACACTTTTTTTTTAACTTAACACTAAACTCACAGAAGAAAAGAGTGATTAATAATTTGACTACAATACCTTTGGCAAAATTCAACGATCTCTGCTTTTGTATCATTAATGATAAGAAATGGAGCTGATCCTACAAAGTAGTCTGAAAAAGTGACGACAGTAGAATGGTCTCTCGGGGTGACATCCACTAATATGCCTCCAAGCTATAAGAACAAAAAAATACCAATTAGCATGTTATTAATAAAAAACTCAGACTCTGCACTCTCGCCAATATGCCAATCTGTTATTGTTGTACCTTTCATAACTACTCAGTGTAGTGTACCCCCTTCACTGTCATATATGTAAGGGTTATGATGAAACCGAACTGCTTGTAGCAGGTCAGCTTGGTAAATTTTACAGCAGATGCATTCCTTTTGACTCATTCATGGTTGCTTCAATGACCATGAACTTATAGGGGAAGGGTCTCAGGCTCTGCTTACTCATGAACAGCTGTGATGGCAACTATCAAATCATCGGCTGTAGCCCTTTATTAAAAAAAAAGTGACCCCTACCACCACTGTCCCAGAGAGTGCCCTTCCTGTCACTAGATCCTCCCCACTCTGTGTCCAGTGTCTGATCCCTTCCACAACCTGTCTACTGTTTGCCCTCTGATCACTGCTACTCTCCCACAGCCTTTACCACCAGAGACTGTAGGTGGCAGAGTGTAAACACATAGAGGGAAGGATCAGATCTCTTCAGGATGGCAAACGGAAAGATGTTTCTTCAGTTTCTTAAATAAACACAAGAATACTCAGTACTGAGCACTCCCTTGTTCATTTATAACTGACAAGATTGATAACACAAATTGCATGCTTACTATCTCTTCAATTTGCATTCACAGTAAAGAGCATTTCCAGGTTTAGTGAGCATTGGGCAGAGGAATCTGACATTGAACTCTTTCTCTATCTCAAAAGTGAAACATCAGGAATCTGTCCAGATTACCGATATTTCCCCAAATTTCCCTGGTGACAGTTCTGGTAACAAAAAAAAAAAAACTAAGTAAGATAAAAAAAAAATTAAAAAATTAGTAAATGAGTAAAAAAAAAAAAAAACATACAACACACACCGTGTCGTGCAATAAAATACATACTTGAATCATTTCATCACAACCACATCAAGGGGGCACACATGTGGCTCTGAGGATTTGGCGTTTGTACATTACGTGGGTGTGAGGCTAACCTCAAAATTTTTAGCATAAGTTAAATTAGTTATGCGTACCTTCAATTTTAACAGATTTGCAAAAAGGGACAATTTCAAATTTAAAAGTATTTATTTATTAAAGTGGAACTTTAAGAAAAAAAATTGAACAGGAAAGCTTTTAAAACAGATGAGGCATACTGAGTCTCTTCTGCCTTAAAAGTATTGTTACCTGCCTGTTCACAATGCATCGGCATCTGCCCTGATGAATGAACTCCCATGAGCTTATTTCCACTTTAGCTCAATACAGTTTTATCTTTTAGAGTTAGTGGAACTTTTGCAAGTTATGGGTTTGTGTGTACGAATAATGATTTTAGTGTATTTTACAGAAAATACTGTTTTGATAAACATTTGTGAGGGATGTACAAAATAAGTGGGAACATCTTTTGTTGTACAGGTCCTGTGCTTTCCAAAAATGTATGGATTGGAGTATTTTACGTGGTGGCGAATTTTAAAGAATTGATAATAGAATACATTATCAAACTGAAAGTATTGTGTATTATATTGACCAAGTGCAGCCTTAGAAAAAAAAGTAAATTTAATTTTAGAAAAAAGTAGGTTCGCTAGACTGGGCTTCTGTTAAGCATGAGTGGTCAAATACTGCTAAATAGGAACCTGTGAATCAAAATGACCTGAAACACTATTGGTGCGGGGACTAAAAGCACCAAGTCATGTTAAACTGACATAGCTGAACACAAGGAGTTACCTTATCATCAAGATGAATCAGAGTGCAGCTGTCCTGTTTGTCAAACTTTATTCTCTTTGGAGGAGTCCCACAGCCATCAACCTCTACCGTCAGTTTGCTTTTCACACAATCAGGCCACAATGGTACACACTGAAATAAGACAAAAACATCTCCTTTCATCTTTACGTATCTCTGTGCATTCATGGCTGTTTCATCTCTGAATTTACAGATCATTAGGGTAACTGCTGTCATCTCAGCAAGAGATGTCTGCTACTGAATGCCCCAGGTCCTCTTTGTGGTAGCTGTTGTCATCATGCAAAGCACGAGAAATAAAAATACTTTTGCAAAACTTTAGTTGTGGTGTTTTTTTGTATCAAGAACATCCATTTGTACAACCACCAATAAATAACTGTTTTTACCATTACAGATTTATATTTGGGAGATCTATTACCTATTTAGAGGATCTGGCATTTTTAGTTGATTACAGGTTTTTATGTATTCATATTTCCTTATCACTTAATAGAATATTGTCTATTGATAAACAATGAGATTATTTATACTATGCACAATTGCTTTTGGAACATTATGTAACGTATTTTGTTTAAATTATTTATTTTTTAAGCAGTGATGATACATTTGATTTTCATTTTAAACATGTAAATATATTTATGAAATAATAGTTATGACTGTTTACAGCCATTTCATTTTGGCATAAAAGTTCTTGACCCAGACTTAGGGCATAGACAAAGCTGTAGAGGTGTCAAGTTTATTGAAGTGCCTTACTGAGTGTCCTGCTTCTCTGGCCTTGGTCAATGTCAGTAATAAAGAGGAATTTTGACTAACCTCCAAATTCCATATCCTGGAGTACAGTACAGGACCACAGGCAACTTAATCATACATCATGGGTCATATCTTTGTACCTTCAGATGATTGGTTACTGGCAAGATTTGAGGACGCTTCCAACCAGCCCCCCCCAACCCAGGGTGCCTCCCCTATAACCCTATCCCACTTTGTGAGTCCTTTGTTTTGTAACAATGCAGAGTAACAAAGAGAATTTAGGGAGAATGGCCTGTGTCCTGTACTTCAAGATATAGATTTTACATGAAAATCAGAATTCCTTTTATGTGAATCATCCAGTACAGGTCACAGGCAGCTTATAAATATACCAGGTGATGTCCCAAAGCAAATAGGAAACAGAACTGTACCAACAGGCCCAAAAACAACAGGGGTAAAAAAACCCAGGTTCAGAGTGCAGCTGCAATAATCTGCATCAGCAGAAGAGTGAACACACACCGGGTAAAATTCTGAAAAAGTATGAACAGAAGACCAGGTGGCATCCTTACAGAGTTGCCCAACAGTGGCTTGTTGCCTAAAGGACCAGGGTGTTCAAAACAGATCTGATGGGGTGTGTGCATAAGAAAGAGATGTTTGATAAGCGCTATCATTCAAATTCTTTACGCACATAGCAATTGGAGATTTTGAGGCAGGGTGTCCCATGGGAGGACCCAAGAAGAGGATAAACAGGAAATGTTTGTCTTATATAAGCAGTAGCTTTTACAGTGGGGAAAATAATTATTTGATCCCCTGCAGATTTTGTAAGTTTACCCACTTACAAAGAAATGGAGGGTCTATAATTTTTATCATAGCTGCATTTTAAATGAAAGAGACAGAATATCAACCAAAAATCCAGAAAAAAACACATGATAGAAACATTATAAATTGAGTTGCAGTTCAGTAAAATAAGTATTTGATCTCAAAGCAAATCATGACTTAGCACTTGGTGGAGAAACCCTTGTTGGCAACGTAAGACGTTTCTTGTAGTTGGTTACCAGGTTTACACACATCTCAGGAGAGTTTTTGGTCCACTCTTCTTTACAGATCTTCTTGGCAACTCGAAGTTTCAGCTCCCTCCATACATTTTCTATAGGATTAAGGTGTGAAGACTGCCTAGGCCACTCCATGACCTTAATGTGCTGAGTGGGTAAACTTACAAAATCTGCAGGGGAACAAATAATTATTTTCCTCACTGTAGGTACACACTGACAATGTCCAGACTATGTAAAGAGGCTTCCTTTGCATGCTTAGGAGAAGAGCAGAAGGATGGCAGAACAATCTTCTTATTGAGATGGAATGGGCATAACACAACCTTGTCATTGTGAAGTATGAGGAAGGCTCTTTGAAAGAAAGAACTGCTACTTCTGAGATACATCTAATAAACACGATCACCACCCAAAATAGCTACTTTGCTGGTAAGTGACTCCATGGGAATAACAAAGATGGCTTCAAAAGGTGGTTTCTGCAAGGCATAAAGAACCAAATAAGGTCCCAGGGGAACACAGGGTGTGCAAGGTGGGTCTAATATGAGAAACACCTTAGGGGGAATTTCTCAAAACTGGAGCAGACAGAATCTGGAGTAGCTGTGCATGGCAACCAATCAGCTTCTATCTTTAGCTTCTTCAATTAAGTGTTGGAAATGAAAGCTAGAAGCTGAATGGTTGCCCTGTATATCTGTTCTACATTCTGTTTGCTCCAGTCTTAGTAAGTTTCCCTCCTTGAATAACGGTTTTTATGAGGGGATGTGAAGCTGGAGGCCTTAGGAAAAGGATGGATAAACGGTCAAAACGTGCCCTTTTTGGGTACTGAGAACTAGATTCTAGACCTGTTTGCATGAAGGCTAGAACTTGGAGTAGACATAATCTCTGGGATTGAGTGAGTTTACTGTGATCACACCAGGTGAAGTAAGATTTCCTGGTAAGATGAAAATTTTCCCGAACGTGGCTTTTCATGCAAGGTAACAATGACAGACTCATCTATGCTTTAGGACGTGTGTCTTAAAAGCAATGCTGGTAAAGCCACAGACTGTAAGGCAGGATGGAATAAAGGGTCTTGAGATAGCAGATGCAGTCTGTTGGAAGAGACCAGGGGTCTTTTACTAGGAGTTTGTGTAAGTGGCTTGTCTGGTCTAGCTTGGTGCCAGAAAAATCACAGTCCTTCTCTTTCGCTTTACTTTGTTGAGCACATAAGGTAGAATGCTCAGTGGAAGGAATGCATAAAAAAGCCTGAACTGAGACCAAGGGAAAAATAGAGCATCTGAGACCAGAGCTAGAGGATCCCTGTTTCTGGATACAAACCGAAGTAGCTTGTTCTTGTATCTGGAGGCCAGGATGTCCACATTTGGAGTCCCTCATGTTTGGCATATTAGATTGAACACATCTGGATGAAGAGACCATAACCCTTGGTTCAGGTGGCGGCGGCTAAGATAATTTGCCTGCCTGTCCATGAGAGAATCTGGTTTGCTTCCTGCAAGGTAGCAAAGTTCTTTGCACCCCTTAATGGCTGATATAGGCCACTGTGGTAGCATTCTTTTACTACACTTGAAATAAGTGTCCCTATTGAAGAGGGGTCCAAACCTGGAGGGATAGCCTGAAAACTCTGAGCTCCAAGATGTTGATGTTGGCCTCCTTCCTTGACCATGTTTCTTGAATTGTCAAGGATTGGAAGACTTCTCTCCAGCCTGATAGACCTGTGTTTGTTGTGAGAACATTCCAGTTGTAGGGGAGGACGGATTTTCCCATTGTCAAAGTTTAAGTGGTGATCTATCAGGACAAGGAATTTCTTTTTTGGTGGGTGGAAGCATGGGTAGATTCCGGGAAGAAGCCTGCTTTTTTCCATGCTGATAGCATCTTAAGGTTGAGATTTCTTGAATGGAATTGGGCTAAGGGTACTGTCTCAAAGAAAACTCTTTTAGAAATAACTTTCTTTTAAGAAAGACCTTTGACTGAGATTCATCTACAATTCGACTGAGACACTCTAGGTGCATAGAGAGCTGGACAGCAGATGTTAAGCCGAAAGGCAGCGCGAAAAATTGAAAATTGTTGTCTTCCACTTCAAAGCATAGAAAACTCTGTTGTGATGGGTAAATGGGAACATGTAGATAGTCATTCTGGATGTGACATTCCCTTTGTCTCAGAAGTAATTACTAACCTTGCAAACTCCATACAAAATGTTTGGAATGTTGAAGGATTTTAAGTCACAGACAAGATGGATACCTCTCTGTTGGGCTTTGGTTCCATGAACAGATTTGATTAGAATACCTTGAATCTTTCCTATGGCAGCTCCGGTCCAAGGACTCCCTGGGACAAGAGGCATTTTGCAAATCTGACTGCCCTTGGACAGACTTGGTTGATTTGACAGACGAAAGCTGTGAGGAGGCATAGTTTTGAACGCCATCTTTTATCCTTTGGAAAGCACTGATTGAACCCACAGGTGTGGGATGTCTGTGGTCCAGAGGGATGTAAACTGCAAAAGACCTCCCCCCCCCCTGCTCAAGAATGAGGGTGCCCCTTCATTGTGGCTTTGGGGAGTGTTTGGTGGCCTCTGTGGGCCAAGCCTTGTGCCAAAAGGAAAGGCTGAACTTAGGCTTTGAAGCTAAAGCCTGGGAAAAGCATGGAGGTACTCTGCATTTAGAGGAGTTAGGAACACCTGAAGAAAGGGGTCTTGTTACCTTTTTCTAAGGAAGCAAAACTTTTCCTCCTGTGACTTCTTTATTTGGTCAAGTAATTCACCAAACAGACATCTTCCCTCCAAGGGCAAATGTGTGAGGTTTCTTACAGGCAGGTTCTGCAGACCAAGCTTTTAGCTGGATAATTCTGTGCATATGAACAGAGATTACATCCATTCTGGATATTCATCTCATGATGTGTTCCAGGACATCTACAAAAGAAAAGAGAGCAGATGGAAGCTTTTGCATTTGCTCTGCAACTGCCGATTTTGAAAGGGTCATGTTCGTTTATCATTGTCCTGGTCCAGTTAGCTGCGGTTTGACATACTGAAATGGCAGCCAGAACTAGTTACAGGACTGACTCTGTCAGGGTAAAAATGTATAAATGTTTAAAACTTTCTGTTCACAGAATCTTTAAAAGATTAACAACTTCAGCGGGTACAGTGAGATGTTTGTTTTGGACAAGCAGGGTCAACTACAGGAACAGCCCACTTTTCCAACTGGAAAAAATTCAGAAAATGTCTCTGGGAAACTGAAATCCTGTTAGGAGTGACCCAGTCATCATAGACGACACATTCTACTGTCAGGTCCATAAATATTGGGACATCTACACAATTCTAACATTTTTGTCTCTATACACCACCACGAT